TTTTTTTTTTTTTTTTGAATAGTCAGGTCTGCTCGAGGTCAGGAGACCGTAGACTGACTGACTACATTTGTTTATTTACTTCTACACTATTGTCAAAACTGTCACTGTTACCAAGCCTACTGGGTATAAAAAAAATTTGAACATTTGGGGAAAAAACCGCGTTTTTCAAGTATTCGGCAAATTTTTTCAGTATTTTTAAGACCCTATACTAAACTCGTTGCGGAGACAAATHCAACAAATCAAAAACCATGAAAATTGGTTCAGCCCAAATCAAGTTATAAGCGGTCTTCACTTTTACACAACTTTCTTTTATATATATAGATTATCATCAAAAACCAATAATCCTTGAAATTGTCATTCAAATATAATGTTCTATAATTTCCATTTCGCCGCTTGCATTTTGAAATATATACATCGGGTACGTCGCCTAATAAAAAGAATATACATATATCATGAGTCTTATTCAGCATTAATTGATCAAAATAATATATACACAGCTCCTAAGATCTTCATCGTAAAGTTTATTCCGTTCAACTTCCTGGACTGAGTGTAAGCATATATATTGCATTATAATATTAATATTACAAACTCCAGATATTTAGGTTTCATATTTAATATGTATTTATTGTGTTGAATTCTTTTGTTCACATAACAAATTTTTGAAGAGTCCAGCAACATGTAAATCGATTTCGCCCATTCCGTCTGAGTGCTGCTCAGATGCTCGCACAAATTGTTCAGTTGGCAACAACAAAAGTTGAACAATATATAGGAACAGGTAATCAAAGCACAAAAATGATCAAATGTTGGCTGATTGGTTACTGCGGACGAGCGATGAATGCAAAATGCAGAACACGTTGCTGTGATGTTTGATTTAGAAACAAAATCGAAAGTACTTAATAAATGCTACAGGTAGTTACAACTTAAGACGATGAGGCACGAGCTCTACTGCGCCAGGGTTGAGGGCAGATTCAGCAGGGTGCTTTGTCCGCTGGGCAAATAGGCGACGCCACGGGACCTCGATAGCTGATAGGCGATGTCTTCGGCAGCTTCAATACGACGCAGCTCAACCAGACCATCGCCAGCCTCACCGAACGACCTGGCCAGCAAATCGGCAGCAGCGGCATCACCCTCAGCTGAAATAATGGAAGCCAACTTCTGTTGTTCTGCTTTCTCAACGACAAATCGTGCCTTCTCGGCCTCCTGCTGGGCCACCTGTTTCATTTCCACAGCCTGTGTGAATTCACGTCCAAAGGTCAAGTGAGTCAACGAGATGTCATCCAAGATGAAGCCAAACTGCTTGGCACGCACAGTCAACTCCTGGGACACACGTTGTGACACCATCTAAAGATGACAAACATATCTTTTTAATTTATGTTTAATACAGCAATCAAATTGTTTGAGCTCACCTCACGCTGTGTAATCAGCTCACCGGCATCGAATTGAGCGACAACGGCCTTGAGCACCTCAGGCGCAATGGAAGGCAGCACACGCTCATCGTAATCCTGGCCGAGAATCGTATAAATCTTTGGTAGTTCATCCGGAATAGGGCGGTACAAGATACGCAGCGTAATATTCACATTCTGCAAGTCCTTGCTGCCCGTTATCACTGGAACATTTCTGGGCTGGGAGCGGATATCGAAGATAATGGGTCGCTGCACCCAAGGTATGAAGAAGTGTGTACCCTCGCCAACGACATGCTCCTTTATGCCGGTGAAGCGATCGAAAATCACAGCCCGATGGCCACCATCAACATTATATAATGCGGAGTTCACAACGCCGCCGAGCAGAGCAACGCCGAGACCCATTTGGCCAATGCGGTTAAAGAACTGAGCAGCCATTATACTTAAAAACACAAAAACAGAAAATTATACAGTTTATATATAAATTAGGAAATGTCTATTGTGTATATGTTTATGTAAATCATTGGAAAGCCGACTCAGTTTCACATTTCATCAGATTTATAGGTTAGAACGTCATGTAAACTTGTCAAGTGGACAGCTTACACTTTTATTAAGGTATATAGTATATTTTTCTTGCATAAATATTTACAATCAACAGTTTAACTAACTTTTTAATTGATTCTGCGTTAGTGAAAAATGTATAATTACGTTAAAGTTTTACAATATTGCTCGCTTTATTAAAACCGCACGCAATGAAACGACAGCTGACAGTGTTGAAAAGTGCCAATAGCGGCAATGTGAATGCATGTTGATGATTAGTGCTGCACATTAGGTACAAATATCGATATGTCGATAGATTCCACAATATTTCCAGAAAAAACAATTCAAATATTGTTTCTATAAAAATGTGTCCAGATTCATTTATTGCGTCATCTCCGCACGTCCGGCTCCTTTAGGCATTTTTTTGTTAGTCGAATCCTCCAGCTCCTTTGCCTTGTAATAGTGGGGTGCTACCTCCAGGAGCCATTTGCTTTCAATCTCAATGACCTGACGCATGAACTCCTTGGAGGTGAATACTAGCTCATGATAGAGCACCCATCGTGGCAACTCCTCAAACAACGAAGAATTGGGATGTATCATAACCGTTTGATTGTGCTTAATTGTCTTGTAATTTCCGCCCTTCGACAAACGTGCCACATGATAAAAGTAGCCTGCCGTCGCTGCCTTCCTCACGTTAATTGTCTCCGGCAGACAGCTAACCATATCGATTTCCACTCGCTGCATTAGACCAACCAATTGTTCTCGCACATCTCGTGCCCGTTTCATGGAGCGATATTGTATAAAGTTCTCGTAGCACCATTGCGTACTATAATCCGTCTCCGCCCATTGATTATAGACCTGCAGCAAGCTGAGATGATCGCCATGCATATGATTGAAATTCTTTCGCGCAGTATCAGCGTGTATGATCTTATCCTTAGGCCGGTAGAATATGGCGCTATTAACTGACAGCATGGCCGCTATGGTGACCATCTCCTCAGAGCACTTATACCTGTAGGATAAAGATTTTTACATTTATCAATAAACAAACAAATAAATAATTGCAGCACATACTTTTCGCTGGCTAACAGCATTTTGCCCATCATAGGATCAACAGGAAATTCTGCCATGCGTCTGCCCAGTTTGGTTAATTCACCATGATGATTGAGTGCACCCAATGCGTATAGCTGTTCCAGTGCCAACACTAACGTTTCGTGTGGCGGCGGATCGAGGAAATCAAAGTGTATCAGATCATTAATGCCCAAAGCTTTGAGCATGAGCACCGCATTGCCCAGATTGATTCGACAAATTTCCGGCACTGTATTCTCCTCCAACTCGTGCTTATATGCCCAGGCGGTGTATAGGCGAAAGCATTTACCGGGTGCCGTACGACCAGCTCGTCCCGCTCGTTGGTTAGCCGAAGCCTTCGAGATGGGCACCACCATCAATGATTCCATGCCCGTTCGTGAATTGAAATTGTTTTGCTTAGCGAAACCCGGATCAATGACATAGATGATATTGTCTATGGTCAATGATGTTTCCGCAATGTTCGTAGCAAGGATCACTTTGCGTGCATTCGGCGGCGTTGGCTCAAAGATTTTTGCTTGCATGTCGCTCGGCAGATTGGCATAGACGGGAACAACAATGAGCTCGCGAATCTTGGAGCCCAGGCGCTTGACACGATCCTGCAACACCTCCTGACACGTCTCGATCTCGTCCTGGCCTGTGAGAAACACCAAGATGTCGCCAAGTGGCTGCGTAGCATGAATCTGCAGCACGGACACACAGCAGGCATCAATATAATCCGCCTCGGGTGCTTTCGTATAGAATATGTCCACTGGATACCGTCTGCCGGGTATGCGGAAAATGGGAGCATCATCGAAGAAGGCAGAGAACTTCTCGGCATCAAGCGTAGCGCTGGATATCAGCAGCTTAAGCTCAGGTCGGAACCGTGCTATATCCTTGACAAGTCCAAACAGAATGTCCGTATGCAAAGTGCGCTCGTGCGCCTCATCAATAATCATGACGCTGTAGGAGGCCAGATCTGGCTCAGAGAGGAACTCTCGATGCAGTGTGCCATCTGTCATGTACTTGAGTATGGTGCGGTCTGAAGTGCAGTCCTCGAAACGAATGCTGTAGCCCACCTCGTTGCCCAGCTTAACGCCCATTTCTTCTGCTACTCGAGCCGCCACGGACATGGCAGCCACACGACGCGGCTGCGTACATCCAATCATCTTCTTATCCGCCGTGAAACCGGCCTCAACAAGGTATTGCGGTACTTGAGTGGTCTTACCAGAACCAGTCTCGCCCTCAATGATCAGCACCTGATGCTCTCTTACAGCTGCTATGAGATCCTCCTTAAAGGGATAAACCGGCAACGATCTGCGTGTTTCTTCCAAAGTCATCCGTTTGCGTTCCTTTTCTGTTAGCTCCGTTTCCTTGGCAGCCTTTTCGCGACTACCATCAAGCGTTAGAGCCTGAATGAAATCAATCTGATCGTCAAGCAACAGCTCATATTCCTCCTCAGCCTTGGCGTCTTTGGCACCAAACTGAAAACGCGCCGAGGCCAATTGCTCAGCCTCCCATTTCTTTTGCTCCGAATTGGGCTGCTTCTCAAAGTCATCCACCTCCACGTATTCCGCTACAACATACATAATTTAATACATTTTTCTGTATGATCTGATACTATACTTACATCGTTCGCCTTTCTTAAGATCCTGGGGCATGTGATAGCGCTGAATGCGCTCCAGTTCACGTGCCTTTTCATGCTCTTTAGCTATATTCAACAGCTGTTTCTTGTACTGACGTTCCTCCCGTTCCCGCTTGGTTAGCCTAAGGAAATCTCAAATGAAAATTAAATATGAACACAATCATATGGCAAATACCTACACGCTCTCCTCAAAGAGGTACTCGTCGTCGAGTATATCTGCTTCTAGCTCGGCAACTTTGTCCTCCTTGCGCTTCTCCAAGTACTGTCGACGTGACTGCACGCGCAGATGGGGCACAATCTTATCTCGATCCTCATGCTCTAGTTTCAGCCGCTTGGTAGCTTCTTCAATTGCCTTGCGTCCGCCTGTGGCTTCGACCACTTTGCGGGTTCGCTCCTCATCGCGTTGCTTTAAGCGATTGGCAAACTCATCACGTTCACGCAAATCCTTAATACGGGACTCCTCCTCGCTGTCGGGCTCTTCGGCACTGCTACTACTGCTTGCTGTGCGTTTACGATTTTTACTCGACATATTTTAGTAAAATACACAATTTAAAGCCAAAACAACAAGAGCAGTTGCCGGCTGCTTAGACTAATACGCTGTTCATAATACATTTAATATTGTATATCGATATATGAAGTAAACAAATAGTTATCATTTCTATTTAACGTGCTTACGAGCGGGAGAGACCATAATAAATCAAGGAGATCTTTTATTTTATATATATATATATATTACTTTAATTTAAATTAATTTAGAGAAAATAAACTAATTAAAACACTATTTTTAAATTTTTCAATTATTACCATTCAATTAATATCGCAATACATCGATATTTTTATACCTTTTAAAAAATCGATTACATTTCGCGCGCTACATGCAGCCCTAGCTCTCGAAACGCACAATTCATAAACATATTTCCAGTAGTAAACAACACAATTTTGAGCATGTCTCGTCAATTAAGCTTTTGTCCACAAAAAGAATATGAACTCATTGAATACCCTGGCCGCGTGGTCAACACAGACCGCATGCTGGCCACCTTAGGTGGCATTCTCAACATATCCAAGGTAAGACATAATATAAAGATTAATTTCAGTAAAAATGCTCATTATTTCCTATGCAGGTTCTGGGAGATGAGAAGAAGCGCTTGGAGTTGCGTTTTCATCCGGATAATCCATATAACAAGCCCGCCTTCGGTGACTGTACAGACAAATCGGGTGTTTTATTATCAGTAACTGTGCGACGCCATAAACGCGACAAATCGCGCCCACCTCAACATTTTGTTCGTGTCCTGGGCCATTGCAGTCGAAGCTTCTCATTTGAATGTAAGTAAGGCATACTGACAATTTGAATATGATTAACAGCAGGAGCTGCTACTGGTAGCTCTTTGTGACTTCCAGTACCTGCCGCTGTGGCGCACACCCAAAAGTGAGAGCGCCACTGCCGCAACGGAGCTGAAATATGCACTGGATCAGTTGCAGCCGCGCGATGTTTCGGACGTGGAATATTTCAGGTGAGCAGCACAAAGCATGGAATAAAATGGAATAGAACTAATAAAAAACATTGCCTTGCAGCCGGCCGCATCCGCAGCTGTTTTGCCTGCCAGAACTGTTTGCACGTGTTGACGTCGCGCACAGTGGACACTATCGCATGGATAGCACTGATGATGGAAGTCAAGAAGTGCTGGGTGTAGCGGCCAAGTCTACATATGACAATCACGATGTCGTCTCTTTCAATATGCAGGATACGTTTCCCACTCAGCCAGATGGGCAGATACATAAGCGTCTTAAGGTCAAATATGTGTCGGACGAGCAATTCGCACGCGTTAAAAAACTCTTCGATGAAATTCCGATCTGGACGCGGGTAGCACTGCTCTACGAGTCGGGTGTCACCAATGAAAAACTGAAGTGCATAATACCCTCGCTGGCATTTTACTTCAGCAATGGCCCTTGGCGGACCATGTATGTGCGCTACGGCTATGACCCACGCAAAGACTTTAAAAGTCGATATTACCAGACATTTGATTTTCGCTTACGCTTCGGCTCGGGCGTCTCGGAATTCGTTTACTCCCGCAAGTCGGCAAAACAGAAGAGATCATTAACGACCGCCAACGACGATGTGAAAAGTGAACTGGTCCAAAGCATTGACTATCCATATTTCGATGGTCAAAAGTTGCCGCGGTCTAGGCAATGCATGCTACGATATTGCGATGTGCGATTGCCCAAAATACAGGAAATGCTGGAAAAGATACCCACACCGTTAACCGGTGCTGTTTGCAATGAGCGAACCGGCTGGCTGCCACCTAGTTTTGATTCACAGCTGCGACAGATTGTGTGCGCGATGATCAGTGAGTTGTTGCGTAATCATTATCGAAAAGAGCATCTGACTGCCGAGGTGGAGGCCGTCCCCCAGGCCGATGGCGAAGCCGAAGCCGAGGCTGATGCTGATGCTGATGCTGATGCTGAGGCTGAGGACGAGGAGTATTGCATAGAAGACGAGGAAACTCAAGAAGAGGACATGGATGTGGATGAAACACCCATTGCCGAAAATATCGTCGACAAGAATATTGAACAGTTGCTTAACAATATTACAAACTAATCTTACAAAATTCACAACGATTTAATCTGTGATCTATTATAGTTTAGCAATATACTTAATAAAAGCCTTACGTTATATGTAAGATCAAAAGTTATATATATTATGTAAAGGGCGAAACAGGTTTTGAAATATATATTTGTGCAAATGAGGATTAATTTAATACATGATCAAGCTAGGCAACAAATGTAAATGTAATACGTACTAGCAGAGTTGATAAATTGCTTAAGATGAACGTGACGATTAAAAGAAACCGATCTGTAAACTTTGTCCAGGCTGGAATCATTTAACAGTAATAAAAACAGAGCTGCTCTGTTAACTTAAAATACTTAACATCACTCAAAGTGGACAGCTGTAAAATTTTGTCAGTATTAAAAGACTCAACAGTACACAATTGATTGTAACTATGATTGCAACATGTCTGTTAAATTAACAGAGTAACTAACGCCGCTTTGAGTGAAATTTGAGAGTTTAACAGCAATGTAGCAGAAGGCTCAATTTGTGATCAAAAATTGAAGCATTGCTTCATAACTCATTTTTTGGGAAGAGGTGATTTAATGGTATAGGACGGAGATTTTCCAACCTTCGGGAGTTCCGTTTTCCACAATGCTGGGGAGAAACCAGAAGAAAGCAGGCTACAATTTATAATTCTGATCGATTCTCTGAACATGAATAAAATTTTAATTTCCGCACTTTAACGGTGTTTGTATGTTCAGCAACATTTTTGTATTTTTATAAAAAACAAAAAAAAAATTATTTTATTAGTGTAACCAAAATACAAAAAAAAAAAAAAGGATTTTTTACTCTTAAGTACCTTTAATTGAATATTTAGAAAATTTTTTGTAAGTATTTTTGATTTATTGATTGCTTATATAGTGAGTTCAAATATTTATATACCTACTGATCAAGAGATATAATGGACGAGGAAGAAAAAATGGACGTAGACATTGAAACAGGCTCTGGCTGCGAACCTGAGCACATCAATCAACACGATTCAAGAATGAAAAATTTTATTCGCGCGGCCAAAATATGGAATCGAATGCCATTGCATCAAAAGGAAGCATATCGCAATATATACGACGATACAGAGCACAGTCCAAGCTGCTTGGAGATGGATGAAAGCGATTATGACAGTGAGGACGATTGTCCAATGAATGCTGCTAATGTTGGGAAGGCTCCTCGCTATACACAAAGAAAGAGTCCGATACAGAAAACGACGGTCAAATGCGTCAATCAACAACGTGGTAAGCGCAAGAAGCCGAAAAAATGGGTCAAACCGGGCCCTGTCACAAATAATGCTTATCTGAACTTTGTGCGTACGATTCGCCGAAAATATTGTGGTCTGCAGCCTAAACAGCTAGTAATACTCGCGGCATACGAGTGGAGGAATCTGAGCGACGCTAAGAAAGAAAAATATCGTCGTCAGGCAAGGCAACATTACTTACTATAAATTACATACATCTGAGAACATATAACCATAATCTTCCCTCTTCCACATACAGGCTTACGAGATAAGTGCCATGGAACGCGAAAAACGCGAAACCAATTACAAAAGGCAGCGACGCACTCATTGCCACTGTTAGCGCAACGTCTTCTATTTCCATTTTAAAAGTGCGAAATTTACAAATTTTCAGTGCACTTGACTCATCAATTGGACTGGCAAATAAAAAGAAAAACATTTCAGAATATATTTTTTTCAAATTACGGTATTTTCGTTAGGCATTTGAAGGAGAATTGGTTCTTTCTGCCTGCCTTTCACTCATTAACTCCATGTAAAACTATATGTACATATATGATCTTGTTGATCTGCCCCTGTCTATTCATCTAGATTGCTTGCAAGTACGACTCAATACGGTGCTATTGGTTTGTTTGTTTTTTATTACAAAATCAAGATTTTTAAAATAATATTTTAAAGTGAAAATTTTAAAATTTTCAGTAGTCACAAAATAAGTTTTATTAAAACCATATCAACAATTGGCCAATAAATAAAGTTTCATAAAAACTATATCAACTGACCATTTTCCATAATTAGAGCTTTGTTTTTAGAGTTATTACATGTTTATATCCAGTTTTATTACAATAGTTCTGAATTGTTTCAAGTTTTAATGGGTTTTCCAACGCTTTATCTACCGAGGTTTTTTTTTTTTGTATTAACATTTATTTATTTTATTTAAATAATGCAACTCTAAAAAGACAAATACTGCAAAATTGACAATTACAGAATTGAAAATTACAAAATAAATTAAATTTTAAACGCAACAGCACCGAAAACTATCGATGCTTAGCAAAAAACATCGATAAAAGCAAGCCCGACTTGATCAAATAGGGAATTTCTGCAAGAGATCACAGAGTTTAAATATACAAAACACTACCAATTTTCTTGCATATATAAAACAACAAACGACATTAATTGCAACTGTTGCGCTAAACAGCTGACATATCAATAAATAAGTAAATTATCACTTTATTTGACTGCGACGCAATATCTGATCAGCGGTGTTGAACAGCAACTCGAAGCGACCAAAGTTTTCTCCTTAAACTTACAACAACAGCCGCATTCACATTAAATTAAATAGATAGAGAGCATGTAAGTAGAGCGCTTATTAAGCAAATATATTATTTCCTGCAGGAAATAGTAAAAATAAAAAAATAAAAAACAATATTTTATAGCGACAAATTTTACACTGGAAAAAAAACACGGTCAGCAGAAATAAAGAACGAAAAATGAACGCAGTACAGTTGGAGTCTTGGCAACAAGATATCGACCCTAAAATGGGAGAGTTGAGTACACAAATAGCAGATTTGGCCGTGAGAAACGCTTCAGAGGTTGAACCATATAAAAGGATTGAAATACGTCCAGAGATTAAATGTGAGGAAGATTTAGATATTGTTGTCTCGCTTCCCGACTTTGAGGGGAAAGAGGATACATATATGTCATGGCGCAGAGCTGCGCATGATGCATACGAAATATTTAAAGATTATGATGGCAGCTCAAAGCACTACCAAGCAGTAGCCATTATAAGGAATAAAATTAAGGGCTCAGCGAGCAGACTGTTGGCATCAGCCAATACCGTGTTGAACTTCAGAGCTATTATTGATCGCCTAGATTTGAAATATACTGACCAGCGGCCCATTTACTTGCTTGAGCTGGAGTTATCTATGCTTCGGCAGGGCTCTATGTCGCTTATGGAGTATTATGAGCAGGTTGAGCAAAAACTAGCCTCGCTTATCAATAAAACAATGTTGACCTATCACTCTGAGGTAGCCCGAGTATTCAATGCGAAATATAGGGCGGACGCATTATTCGTATTCATTTCCGGAGCAAGGAATACTCTTCGAAATGTATTATTAGCGGCTGGTCCGAAAGATCTGCCTTCTGCTTTGGCATTGGCCCAAGAAGTGGAAGCAAGTTATGAACGATATTCCTTTGCCGAAACATGTGCTAAAGCTATGGAATTGAGGGCTGCAAAGGAAAGGTCGAGAAAGCAGCAAAGGATCCAAAGAAATAATAAACGCTCCAACAGCTCACAACCTAGTGAGTTCATGTAGGTGGTCTTATCTTTCAGGCTGAAACTAATTTTTGCTGGATATTGAAAACAAAACCGGAAACCTACTTTATCATTTCATTATACAGATAAAGACAGAGAATTTAAATCTTATTGAGCTGGTGAAAAGATGTTAATAAAGCGAAGCAAAAAATTGTGGACTGAATGACACTTCTACACTGGTCGGCATATATATTTAGACATCATTCACATTTCACTATTGGTATTTTTTCTAAGTACCGTTGCATTTAACGAAACTAAAATGAATGCCAAAAACAAGTGCGCACTAATAACTGTAAATTTACGAAATATCTTGTCTATTATGTTTTTTCAGTTCTTTCTGCTGATAACAAACGCCAGAATCCAACGATCTTTGCAGTGGCATACGTACAGTGGCTCACAGCTTATTTGACCCAACGTAAAATAAAAATTTCATCTGCTCATTACTTTTTACCCAATACAAATTTTTGAAAAATTCAAACGTGGGATTGTTATTTCAATATTAAATTAATGGAAAGCATAACTTTTTTATTGATATTAAAAAAAAAAAAAACACAGTAAGAAAATAACAAAAACTAAAAAAAGTCATAAAATCAATGTCACAGCTTATTTTGTCATTNTAATTTTATAACTGGTTTTCGATAAGGTTTTTTATCGATAAAAAAAGATCGGGATGAGTTATCGATTTTTAATGATAAACTTGATATGCGCGCTGTAATTACGGACATTTTAAAAAAAATTTGAAGTCTCTAGCTCTTATATCTTCTGAAATCGACGCGTTCATACATACGGACGGACGGACGGACGGACGGACGGACGGACGGACGGACGGACGGACGGACAGACAGACGGACAGGGCCAAATCGACTCAGCTCGTCGCCCTGATCAAGAATATATATACTTTGTGGGGTCTGCCACGCCTCCTTCTGCCTGTTACATACTTTTAACAAAACCATTATACCCTGATTTCCCATTTTCAATGGGTTCAGGGTATAAAAAAAAAAAAAAACGTATTTGTAAGCAAGGGTAATCTAATTGCCTACTATTAAAATAGCTTATCTGAGAGATATGTTACTGCATTTGATACTTGATTGAGCGCTGTTATGATAATCAAGCAATAAACACCTAACCTACGACGATCTGTATCAATCTATTCTCATATCTCTATACATTATCTCTTTCTATTAGTTAGTCTTTGCTATCAGTAGAGTAATATATAACAATTCTGGCATTTTTCAATATTTGCTTCGTTTTCTCTCATATCAGAGATTGGCTCGTGGAACTTTTCAAAGAGCTATTGATTTGAAATTTATGTGAACTATCAAAATATATTCCGGCAATAAATATTTCAATCTCTCAATAGGCACGTATAGCTCTCTCTAAAAATAAAATTTTGAGTAAACTGCAAGACCTACATAAATGGCTACATGAAACCAGATATATGCATACATGGATAAATAGGTACATAGACACACAGATACGTAGATCCATGGATACATAGAGAAAAAGATACATAAGTAGATATATCCACAGATATATAGAGATATCGATAAATATAGATATGGATATAGATATATGGCACATACGTAGATGTATGTATATATGTATATACCGACAGATATATACGATCCATAGATTAAATACATGCAAGCAGTGAGTAACAGCAGGATAGAGCACTCTTCTTAGATAGATACAGGCATAGATGGAGGTCCCGTCATAGATATGTATAATGATACAAATATTATGTAGTCGATCAAATAATATTTTTGCTTTATTGGAGTTAACATTTAGCTGAATTTCATTTCAAATTAGCTGAGCTAATTCACAAGCATGATTCTCTTTCATTTGCTCAGCAGACTTTTCTAAGCCTAAAGTATTCGCCCCTATAGGCGTGTTTTTATTATACGTGATCCGGACGTAAGTTATTTAATGCAAAGTATATTAAAGCTTCAAGCGAACAAAGTTTTTTGAAATATAAATGCTATAGCTGAATATTTGATGGCGCGCTTTAAGGCTTGCAGCGATCGAGGAAACGAGGATAAAGGCAAACGTCACGGATGTGATAGCGGTTGAGCAGCCAGCAGAGGAAGCGCTCCAGACCCAGGCCGTAGCCACCGTGGGGCATGGTGCCGTAGACCCGCTGGTCTGTGTACCAGTAGTATGGTGCGGGATCGATACCCTCGCGCGCATAGGCCTTCAATATTTCGTCGTTGTCGAAGATCCTCATCGAACCGCCAACAATTTCACCCACATTGGGCAGCAGCACATCGACGCTTTCGGTGAGCCGTTGGTCGTCCTGGCAGCGTGACATATAAAACGATTTGATCTCAGCCGGGAACCTGATCAACAGAATCGGCTCGTTGATGGTGTCCGTCATCTTGCGCTCGGGCGCCTCGGGTATATCCTCGCCAAACTCGTAGAAGGTGCCATCCTCCTTGGGCACATTGTTCTCCTTCAGCCATTTGATGGCGTCCACGTATTCCATGCGCTTGAATGGCTTCGTTGGTGGCTTAAAGTCAGGGTTGAGCTCCTTCACTATGTAGCCCCATGGCGACTTCAAAATGCGATCCACCACATCACAGATCAAGTCCTCGATGCGATCCAGCAAATCTTCAAAGGTCAAGAAGGGACACTCGGCCTCAATGTGCGTATACTCGGCCAGATGACGACGCGTGCGACTCTGCTCAGCGCGATAGCTTTGTGCAATGGTAAACACATCGCCTAGAGCCGGCAGGCAGGTCTCCAAGTACAGCTGCGAGCTCTGGGTGAGGTAGGCCTCTTCGCCGAAATACTGCATCTTGAACAGCGTGGAGCCGCCCTCAACCTGGGTCTGGACAAGCGTGGGTGGAGTTACCTCGTTGTAGCCGCGATCTAAGTAATGCGCACGGAAGGCCTGCATCACCACGGAGCGCATCTTGAGCACCTTCGAGGTGTTCTCGCCACGAATCATGATGTGCCTGTTATCCAGCTGGACATCGGGATGCGCCTCCTCGTTGAGTATGGCATCGGCGCCGCCCGGTGGTGCCAGGCCAATCAGCTCCCAATAATCCACAATCAGCTCATGTCCACCCGGAGCTGTCTTGCCTTCCGGCACCACTTTCAAGGTGCCGTAGAGCACCACGGTGCTCTCGGTGCTCAGCACCAGCGCCTCGTACGTCTGGCAAAGCAGATCATTCAAGACGCACTGCAGGAAGCCGCTGCCGTCGCGCAACGTGATGAAGATTAGGGATTTTCCCTGCCGGCGCAATCGATGCACCCAGCCGTAGATTTTGACACGTGCATTGCGATACTCGGCGCCCTTTTCGATGCGAATCCTTTGGGCTGCCGGCAAGCTGGCGTCTTCACTGATCTTCACCTTGCGCGCCTCCTCCAGATTCTGGGCACGCTTCTCAGCATCCGCGGCCTCGCGCTGTAGCTTATCGGCATTCTTCTGGCTCTCGCGCACAAATATCTTTTGGAGTTTCTTCAGCTGTGACTTGGCTGCCGGTTCGTAAAGCTGGCTGGCCTTTGGATCCTTGCTATCCACATAGATTGTGGGGAAGGGCTCCTTAGCAGCATGACGCATCGCTTGCAAAATGGTTTTATAGGGATTTGTCTCGCTGCCATCGCCTGACTCATCGCTTCCACGCTTTTCCGATGTAAAAAGCGCACCTAAAATTACCAAACATGAATAAAATGCACAAATAGTAAGACTTTTATCGGCAAATACACAAACACATAAGCAAATGTACACACAATTACATTCATACACATGCATTGACAACGTGGACGACCTAAAATGCCGCATTGGCATTGGTCGTTAAATTGAATACTTACTCATGGTTAGATCAGCCATCTGTTCTGTAGGCATTTTGCTTGAATTATGACAAATTTTTTTCCAAGTAACAATTTTATAAGTTCACAGCTTGCTAGAAAAACTGCACTAAAATTGCATCAGCTTATATGTTGCACACAGAAAGAAGAATGTTGGTGTATTAAGGCAATGGGACTTTTTTTAACAGCGTGGCATAACATTTTCCCTAATATGCACTGATATTAACAGACAGCATGAATTTCTGGTCTAATAAAAAACACTAGACTAAACATATGCAGAAATGTATATAAGTTAAGCTATGATTATATAAATTATATTATTTAATTTTAATAGTTAATTACTTCCACTAGTCTCAGATTAATGTTATTATTAATAACATTAACAATATTTAAACAGCTGTTTCGATTAATACCATATATCGACTAGTCGATTAATACAATTTTGAGCAACAAACGTAAACATCCAGGAAAAAGTAAATACAATTTTTGCAATGCCCGTTGAAAATAAGTATGCATACAAAACAGCTAGACAATAATTAATACTTTACACAAAACTGTAATTTATTTAATTTCAGCGTAAAAATACTGCCCAAGTCGGTGGTATGCGAGGAGAGTACACTACGTGGTGACATCACCTTTTCCGCTGGCTGCGTTGTCCATCCCAGTGCAACGATTATTGCCGAAGCTGGTCCAATTATCATTGGCGAAAATTGTATTGTGGAGGAGTATGCAACCATTGCGCATCGTTTGGCAGACGGCGCCAGCTATGATGCCAATAATATTCTGAGCATCGGCAGTCACAATGTGTTCGAAGTGGGCTGCACCGTAGAGGCGGCACGAATCGGCGACAAGAATGTATTTGAAAGCAAGAGCTTTGTGGGCCGTGGAGTGACCGTGTCCAGTGGCTGTGTAATTGGCGCTGGCATTCAAATGCGTACCGCTCAGTTGATGCCCGAAAACACCATTGTATATGGCCAGCAGGCGCTTCAACGCGAGGCCATCGAGAAACAGGGCTCGCAAACATTGCAGATCGACTTCCTAAGGAAGGTGCTGCCCAACTATCATCACCTACGCAAGCCAAACTATGATCCGAAGAAAGCACGCAGTGTTGTCTAGATCAAAAGTGAAGACTCATTTCCATAGGCTAGCTTATATGTATATGTATAATGTATTAATTAATCTCTACAGCTGTGGCATTAAACGCATTCATCTCTTTCTCAAATGTTTCTATTGTATGATCGCACAGCGCCTCCAGATCCTCCAGACCCCGCTTGAGCAGATCTATCGCACGCTCTCGATGCGACTGTATGCGGAAATGTAGCTTCTGCTCGGTGGGATGTGGTATCGTATAGCCGCAGAAATCGACCTCCGGATAGCGAGCTATAATTGTTTTCAGTGCATTGCCTAGCGTGTGGCCCTCGTTAATAAAAACAAACGTGCGGGAGCCATCGCCATTTTTCTCATCGCCGGCAAGCTAAGACACGCAGACTTTAATTTAGTTTTTAATTTTCATTTAGTTTATTATTTCAGTAAATACCTCTGCTAATGCGCCCATTGTGCAATAAATTCAACAGTTTTTCTAAACAGATTGTTTTCATCAAAAACGTGCGCAGTACTTATCGGAGCTTCTGCAGCCATGGCAACCCTGTGCTGTGGCTATCGATAAGAAATATGTTGCTGGCTTTCGATGTCTTGCAACACTCGTGTTCTTCTTGCACAGACAGCGAGAACACGCTCGAAATTTAATCATTGCGAATTTAAAAACACAACATTGTTGTTATTTTGTAATTAGTGCAATCGTTATTTAGGACGCAACAACGATACGGTTATCAATTTTTAGTGTAATTCAAAGCCTGTAACTGAAAAAGAAGAAACATAAATTGGCAAACCTAACAGAAACACAAGCAGCAGCATAAGCATATTGCAAACATTAAAACGCCGCGAGTGTGTTTGTATTTGTGTTTGTGCAAGTGCATACATGTGGCTATGCGTACGTGTGTGCGCCTGTGTTTGAAATCAACAAAAAGTCGTATACAGCAGAAAAGGCGGCAAAAGAAACACAACAACGGCGACTGCATATGATATGCAAAGCGAGGCGGCAAAAAAATGCAACTGCAAACATAATTATTTGTGCAATGCATTTAACGTGAACGTCGTGAACGTCTTATTGCTCCAAAAGAAAAAAAAAAAAAAAAAGCACCGACATTTCGAACAAGCACAAGACTTTTTGCAGCACTTCGCTTAGTGCGTCAATGCAGACAGGAATAAAGAAAGAAACGGCGAAAATAAACTGCAGTGAGGCAACAATAACAACAAGCACAACAACAGAAACGCCGAATGGAATACAGGTTTGTGCAAAAGCAGCAAATAAATCAAATAAGAAAAAAAAAGTTCAAATCAGCTCTTTGTGTACATAAGTGCACCTAAAGTATATTTTTATTGAAAATATATTTACCAAAAAGGTGTCATTTTTTATGAATTTCTTTTTGTTGTGATTACCACGCCTCCCCTCGTTGTAGTGTATGTACAAAGCATCAGTGTGTGTCTGTGTTTGCGATTCATACATCACACAAACACACACACAAAATTTGAAATTATGCAAATTCATGCACACAGGCAGCCGTTGCGCTGCCGACGCCGAGCGTGCGCAAAGGCGGAAGCGTATACTAGAAGACCAGTTCGCGCTGCCAGCGTTCAATTCTGTTATTCTTTTTTACCCGCAATACATACGCTCCTAAACATATTAATAAGTGTTGTACATAAAAGTGTGTATATTTTATGTCCATATATTATTAGTTTAATAGTTGCTAGGTCGTTCGGTTCTCCAACTTATTTCATATATATTTTATTTTTATTTTTATTTTTATTTATACATGTTCTGCCAGAAAATAATGCCCTGCGACTCATTCGTTTAGTGGTGGTGGCGGTGGCGGCAGCGCCGTCAGCGTCGTCGTCATCGTTGCTCACATCTGTTGTTTGTTAAAGCAGCCTGTCTTTGACTGTTCGCTCGCCTGTCTCTTTGCTTGGTGGTGACTAATGCAAAACCATGTTCCGTTATCTCAAAACGTTTCTCACGTCCCGGTGTCCAATCCAGATCCACACCCACAAACGCACAGCTGAAGCGTGTGTTGTAATAGCGGAGTTTTAAATGAGTGAATGTGTGTGTGTCATTGGCTGGCGCCGTTTCATGTTTCACTCAATGTAATGCGTTCCTCTTACATATACAAACATATTTGCAATTTGGTCTAGCTGCGTTTCGTTCTCTACTCGTTCCCCCCATTGTGCTGTGAACCCTTTGGAAGTGCATTTGCATGTATACATACATACATACATACATACATACATACAATACACATGAATAGCATGTGTACAGTGGTGTGTGTGTGTATTTGTGCTCTTAAGTTCATTACAGCAGCTGCTATATTCATGTTCATCAGCATATGGCAATTTTGTTTAATCGAGTTATGTGGATCAATTTCTTTATACAGAGATGTTAATATGACTCAAAGGGAAATGCAGTATGTCCATATTGTTTATTAGACATATTTCCGAATTTATCTTCATATACAGGGAAATTTATAACCTACACCGTTAGACTCTTCTTAAATCGAAAAAGATATTTGATAATAAACAGCATTTATAGTAGTGATTACAGAGAAAAATATCAACTAATCGGACCTTAAATGTAGTTCGATCCTTCGTTCGGTAATTTTGTTTTCGGTTTCCTGCTGTAAATATTGAGAGGAATATGCGAAACAATGAGAATGAAATGCTCTCTCGCTTTGCCATACATACATATCAATACGTATATGTATGTATGTAAGAACGTAAACATATTTGTGTCTGGCCGGGTCACAGGCTTTTTGCCAGCATCGTTTGCTTGCTGGCTGTCTGGCTGTCAAGGGAACAACGACGACCGCGGCAGACCATGAAAACTAAAAACCCTGTCCGGGCGTCGTCAACACAGACAAGGCAATGGCACATACCACGGCAACATCCTGTGCATCAACCACGAAATAACAAAAAAACACAGCCATAAAGCAAAGAGAAGAAAAAAAAAACCTGTCATCTGCTGGCTGGCGTTCCCTTGCCGCTTACAAGTTTGGATTCGCCCAGACTGCCCAGCCGCCTGCATCCGATACGGCTTCGGCGATATGGATATAAAAATATGTACACAAGTGTGTATGTATGTGTATATGTGTACCTATGGCGAAAACAAACACGAAGAGGACATTGAACGCCATCGTTCGTCCATCGTGAGAGGTACAGACAGGAGGCGGCGGTGGCATTTTCAGAATTCCAAAAATCAACAAAACAAAAAGCAAATGTAGAGAGCAGACAACAGAAATAACAACAAAAACAATGACAATTCAAACAGGGCCAATGCTAGGGCACGTCTGGCAGCACTGCAAAGTCCAGTTTTTGTTTCCAATTTTCTTTATGAAGCTGCATAAGTGATCGACTTGATGCACGCAGAACATCGATAAAATCATTAGGTAAACTATCGTTTTGCATGGATATATTACAACTTTGTGCTTTCATGTTTAGCTACCTAAAAGAGCCTTGTGTATAAGCTGTAAGTATATAATAATAGAGTATATATATTTACGTATAAACACCTATATATGTATATATCTTGGCTACCCCAGCGGCAATGTCCTGTGCAAAACATCATACAGCGTGCACATGCATACATATATACAGTGTGTGTGTATGTGTGTGTGCCTGTGTGCAGTTTCATTTCGTTTTCGTTTCACTTTTTGCCATTGCCCGTTTCTGCTTCCTTCTTTTATTGTTTTACTTTTACAGCTGCCACTTTTTCAACTTGCATTTTTGCCCTTCTCGTTTATTTATCCTCCTGCTGCTGCTGCTGCTGTTGCTGTTGCTGTTGCGGCTGCCTTTGTTGTTGTTGCTTTGTGTTTTTGGCAAGGGTGGAATACACAGCGCTCGACGCTTCATCGCAGCCGTCGCACAAAACAAAAATTTATAACATTCGTACGTCTGGCTTTGATCCTTTTGGGTTTGCTTTTATTATTTTCATTTATTCATTTTGTTTTTTTTTTTTCTTCCTTCATGGCTCAGACGTCTGTCTGGCCACCACCATCAGCAGCGCCACCCCTAGTTGAACATTAGAGGGAGAAAGTGTCTTGCAAATAAATAAATAGTCATGTCRGCCATAATATTAATGCCCCAAAATAGATGGAAGGTGGTGTGCAGAGAGCTTACGTTTGGGGGCGACGGACAGACAGACGACGGCGTTGCTAATCAACCCTCTGGGGCGCTGTTTGCACGACAGCAACAGCAAAAGCAGCAACAACAAGTATAAGATGAAGAAGAAGCAGCAGCAGCAGGAGAAGAACCAACTGCAGCCTCCCCCAAAATTTATATCGCAAGTCGGCTTGTGCGTGGGGTCAATAAACTTTCGCGCCACCGTCTTTCGCCGTGTGCGTGCGTGCGTGTGTTTGTGTGTGTGTATGAGAGAGACACAGCACATGCTCTGGACCATTCCAGACAGAAACATACCAAAAAAGCAGAGAATTGAAAACCGGGTAGCGGCTTGCTTTTCGCTAGTCACCCTCGACGTTTGGCGTGCAGCACGTTCTACGCATTTTTGTGCATTGACCCCAAGCAACGCACTGCCCTATGCCACCCCTACCTCCACCGCCTCCCACTCACCCACACAYACACATATACAATGGCAACCCTCGTTGATTTGATTTTCATATGGCTAAGTAGGGGGAGTCGGAACAGTTGGAGCAGCTCTCTAAACCATATGAATTTCGCTTGATTGTGCTTTTATGTTTCTATATACATACATACATGCATGTGTATATGTCTCCATATACGGTCATATAATAAAATATGCATGCACCTTCGATTACACCTTTATGATGTCATAAAGGCAAGGCGGCTTTAATTGCACAGTGGTACAAAATATATACATACATGTACATATGGATGTGTATATAGAATGCCTATATAATACTTTTTATGGGCACTTGGCTAAATGGCTGGGCGATGGGCGTGGTTAGATATTGTAATGCCAAGACTAGCCGGACGGACAGATAGACATACGGGCATTTCCTGTTTTTGGTCTTGACAGCAAATGGCATTTAGC